TTTATAGTCCAAAAGCTTTGCAAACTATTTCTAGGGATTTTCCATTCACAGGTAGCATAAAAGAGGGGGAAAGTAGAAAAGTGGCCATGCTGAACTCCCTATGAGAGGCTGGTGTGGGTGTCCAAGACCACAGAAGTTCCTTCTCTAGAGGAGAGATCTACATCTGACTGCACTTGAGAAGACTAAGATGAAATCGAATCCAGAGCCTGGGGGATTGGGAGGTGAGTCATCCAGGGTTCAAGGAACTGGGTTACCCTTGGGAATTATTTCCCATTCTGACTTGGAGGATAAGGGCTTCTGACCTGGTGAGATGATGTCTAGAAAGTGTGGCTGAAAAACATCTGGGTAAAAAAGTATGCCAGGGCCTTATTAGGAAGGACCTTGACTCCTCCAGACACACACTCGCTCATGCGTGCACACACACCAGATTTTATACTTGCTTCAGGAAGTACTAAGGACATGATGCAGATTTCTGAGAATGAACGTTCAGAGTTCTGGTTTAGGAAGACAAATTTCTTTTGAGTCAGAGGTGTGGAAGAGGCCATGGAGACCAGTTAAAAGTTATTGCAGTTGCTTTTTATATTCTTCAAATACTTTCTATTTATTTTTTTTCCCCATCTCTCCTCATCACCCACCAATTGGCAGAAAGCCAGGCCTTTAGTAGGCAGTTCGTTTTGCTTGCTAAAGTGAAAGCCATAAATTCAGAGGCTCCCATTGTAATGTCTCTATTCCTCGACAGGTGGCACCATTACAACATTATTTACAGAGCACGGCTCCTGCAAGCACAGTGCTTTCAAGCCAAAACGCTGTTTTACTAAGGGAATTCACCTTTTGGGGACAATCTAGAAGTGTGTGTTGTGGGGAGGAGGGAGGAATAGGAAATTGAATGAAAGATTCAAGGACATTCTTTTTGTACGCCTATATAATTTCTTATAGTAGCAGGGTATTCTGAGTGAATTTCTTTTTTTTAAGTGTGTAAATGAGGAATGATGCTTATGAAAACCTGCCTTTTCAAAGATGCAAGCAAGTTTCCACCTTGCAAGAAGCATGGGCTTAAATATATTTGAGAAAGAACTGTTCCTAGGTTCTGGGAAACTTCTAGGTGAGCCATTTCACTATACATATCAAGCAGACACCATAATCTGCAGTGATACTGAGATCATATAAAACAGCTGGTTTATGTTGGAGGCCTTATTGTTCCATTGCATCCTTTAGGGAAATAACTATTTCTCTAAGAGCAGATTATATTTGTACCAGGCTAATGTTGTGACTTATTACTGTGAAGCTGTGTGTGTGTTTATTTGGGGATTAAGGGCCCCTTAGACCAATGAGAGATGGGAGTACAAGAAACTGAAAGAGCTGGGATGCAGCATTGTGCAGCCCAGATGTAAAGAACCTCACAAAGCTTTGGGTGGGGGGCATTTCCTCCTCTCTAATACCACACCAGTGCTCTGGCAAACTCCAAATACCAGCAGATTTGAAAGTAATGGGGGGAACCAGCAGTTAGTGTAATGGCTATGTCGCTGGACTCCCACGTAGTCGACTGTGGTTCGCGTCCCGGACCCGGTGGCTTAAAACTCACTCCGGGCACGTGTGCGTGCATGCCCAAGATCCCGGGAGGAGAATGGAGGAGAAGGGATTGTGGTGTGACCATCCCCTCTGGGGGGTGATTTCTCGCTTTCTGTCTCTCTGTCTGTCTGGCGAGCGCACACGCCCTATAGCAAAAACCTCTCCAAAAAAAAAAAGAAAGAAAGTAATGGGAAGCAGAGCTTTTAGTATGGAAATCAATATAACTTGAATTTGTTAAATAGATGGTGAGTAATCAGATTTTTATGAAGATTTAGTTTATTGTGGGAACTAGACTAGAGGCCCCAAGAGGCAAGGGTACTAAGAGTGCCAGGTTTGGGCAGGGTCATTTCTTCTTTGGTATTTTTTAAAAATAATTATTCAACTTTATTTATCCATTTATTTATTTATTTATTTTATTTGACCAGAGAGGGACAGAGTGAGAGAGAGAGAAAGTGAGAAAGCAAGCTGCCAGGTCTGGGACTCGAACCATGGTCAGCCATGTAGAAGTCCAGCACCCTCAACCATGCCACCTGCTGGCCCTGGTATTTTTTAAGTTAAAATGTCTCAGTACTTGGGCTGGCCTCATAGCCTAGTGGTTGAAGGAACTAGATCCTATGTGGTCAACCACAGTTTGAATCCTGGCCCCAGTGGCTTGAAAAAACGTGTGGGACATGTGTATGTGAATGCCCAGATGGATAAATGGAGAGATGGGTTTGCAGAATGACTATATCCCACTGGGAAGTGCTTTTTCCCTTCTCCTTCTCTCTCTGTCTCTCCTTCTCTCTCTGTCTCTCTGTATAAACACTTTAGCAATTAAAAAAAAAGAAATTAAGTCCCATTATCCTTCATCTCAGCAATTCCTACTTTTTAAATTTAACTTGTACTTTTAACAGATTAAGTTGAAACCATGAACCCTCTCAAGAGAACAGTTTTAAGATATTGCATTTGATTTCAGGGGACTGTGGCCCCATGAAATTCAATAGTGACCCCTGCACATGAGTCCCCTTAGGAATCCCACGTGAACTTCATCAGGAACATTCCAAAGAAGAAAGGCAAAAGTGGGAAATGGGGAGGACAGAGTGAAGGATGTGGGAGACCAACCTATGTGGATCCCTGTGAGATGCTGGTGTAGGTGACTGAAGAAGGCTGAAGAATAGCTCTTTCTGGGGTGATTTTTTATTATTAGGACTTGGGGGGAATAGCTAGAGAAATTCTAGAAAGCCCTAGCTAAGGGACTGGGACACATTTAGGACAGTGGGCATAGGAAGAAAATTGAGATGGAGTCAAGGGTTAGAGAACTCAATCAGAACCTTTACAGAGGCTAAAGGGTTAGGCTGACCTTGAGATTGAAGTCAGACTCTGGAGAATCTGAGCTATAAGGAACAAGAAAGCACAAGAATGAAGGGAGTAACTACCTGAATGTATCACCTTCCTCTCAAGAAGGCAGTCCAGAAAGCCATCACTTGGTGCTATTATTGAATTACCACCTACTGGACTCTGAGAAGGGTCACTAACCAAAATCTGAACTGCAACTTCTTGTTCCAACTGAGAAGATAAAAAGTAATGAAAATTAAGATTATTTCCTTTTTCAGGACTCTTAGCTCTTGATTGGAGAAATAAAGGATTCTCCTTCTCTGAAGATCTGATTAAGAGAAAAATTAAAATGGTTCTTATCTAGGGCTCTCTAGTATATGACAGAGACCTAGTGAGTTATATCAAAATTTTATTTCCCGCTTGTCACAGGCCATATCACGAATAGTCTTTAATCAAGAGACAAGACAAATTTTATTAAAACAATTGGCCTTTAAAAATGCTAATGTCTCTTGTAAAACAACTATTGCTCCGAAAAAGAAAGGGGGGGTGGGCAGTAAATACTTTTATTAGACTATGTCAGGACATTGGGGGACCACGAATCCAAGGTATGGCTTTAGCAGCTACATTAATGGAAATTATACAACAAAAATCAAAAGGAAATTGTTTCAATTGTGACAGACCAAGACATATGGTCTGTGACTGTCAATACCCTAAACAATCAAGGAGGTATGCTGAGACAGACAGATCCAGGGTTAAGTCCTAGTTCTGCCAAGTGCTTGCCTGTGACCTTGAGCAAGTATTGGAGTCTGTTTCTGAACAGTTACGTAAAAATAATACTAGTGCCTACTTCCTACCGTTATTGGAAAATAGGGCATAGCGTCTGGCACACAGCAAGTGCCCAATAAATGGTAGCTATCATTATAGTTATTAGTGCTGAATACTGGAACTATAATGGGAACCTATTCCTAGTCCTCTCGTTATCCTCTTTAGAACCCCCAACATGCATTCTCCAACCACTGCATAATTCAAGACTTCCTCTGGTCATCCTGTGTGTATAGGGCTAACCCCCACAACCTTTTTGTCCAAGGCTATATGGCTAGCTCAGGGATCTCACAATCCTCCTTTCCTTTTCCTTAATTCTATCCAGAAGCATAAATTTAGATAGGGAAAGATAAAATAATTTCTAGAATGTTCTTGGGGTGGTATTGTTTTCCTATAGGAGCCAGTTACCACCACCCCTACAGCCCAAGAAAACTATAAAGAAACTAACATTTGCACAAGACTTCCTAGGGGTTCTGTATATTTTTCCCTAATAACTTCTCACCCCCATTTTACACATCCAGAAACTAAGTCTTAAACAGTTGATTTAGTGTCGGAACTGAGATTTAAGCCCAAATCTGAGCCTCTAGTTCTTTCCACCATACTGCAGCAACTATAGCCAGCACACACACACACACACACACATACACACACTATCACCACCACCACCCCAGTTTATTTCATCTCAAATGTTGATCAAGAGCAGCCTTGGGAAATCTCCATTGCCCAAGGGAGCAGACGAGAGCGGAGAGCCCATTTCAGTCTAAGCTCTCTCTCCGGGAAACACCTCACAGGAATTCTCCACTAGAGGCCTGAGGCAGCTATTGTGGTTTCCTCTGTGATGTGTCACTCTGCTCACAGAGAGCCCCGGTAATCCCTCCAGAATGATACCCCCACCCCGCTCCTCCCATGGAACAGGTGTCATGCCTGACATTCCAGGACCCAGATTTGGAAATCGTCTCCCAAGAGCCAGATGCTTCACTGTGTCTCTTGCACATGTGAAATTCTGGCTACTAGAAACCCTTGTTGAGTCTCAACACATGTCCCCTTCTTCACCAGTTCAGCTTGAGGTCAAGGTCCAGGATTGAAGGGAAACCAGGCAGAGTTTGCAATGCTGTCCCAGCCAGAGCAGGGGCAATCAACTCCTTGGAACTGGAGACAGGGAAAGATGGGACCGGGAGACAGTGAAAGAGGAGAGAAGGCACAGTCCTGCCAGTTCCCACTAAGTCCTGGTCCATGCAGTGGTCCCAGAAACCCCACCCTGACATCCCCTAGTACCAGTCAGCAAGGAAGGGAGATGACGCCTTTTATTCAGGTTAACACCAAGGAAAGCATTGAGAGGGAGTACACAAAGGAAGGGGAGGGGCACACAAAGTCATCACTTGGGGTGGGAGGGAGGCACATCAGTTTAGGAACCCCAGGACAGCACATGCTTCATGCCCTGGTTGGGGGGTGGGGGAGGAGAGAGGAAAGCGCCATGATAGCCTGGGGCTCACAGAAGGGTCTGCAGCCCCTGAACCTAACACCAGAGCCACAAGCCCTGCCCCTCAGGGCTCACACGCTACTACGCCAGTGGACACACAAAACACACATGAGACATTATGGAGGCAACACCAAGAGGCAGCGGGCAGGGACACATTGACAGAAAAAGAACTGAAGTTAAGCAGGTGTAGCCAGGAGAGAGTTTTTGGCTGCGGCCCCCAATAGTCCCTCAAATGTCCCCTAAATCTGGGCTGTGGCTGAGCACACCCGAGTCTCTGCCTGTGAACTGGGCTTTGTTCTCTGAACCCCAGTGAGTGGAAAAGCAATCCCAGATGAAGTCAGTGACAAGGCAGGATCAGCTCTGCATGCAAAATCCTAGAGGTTGAGCTATTACATCTTCATGCACATTCACAGCCAGCTCCTCCCAGCCGGGGCCCTTGGAACCCCATTCACCCAGATTCCTAGGGCTGCAGTTCCCTCCTCAAGCTTCCTTTACCAATCAGCAGTCGCAGAGATCTGTGAGGGGGAGACGCTCCTGCAGAACACTGAATAGCTTGGATTTCAGCAGAAGGGTAAATTTCCTGTTGCCAGAACAGAATACCCCCAATTCTTTAATTTCTAGGTAAATCGTTAGAGATTATTTGCCATGGTCCTAGATAAGTCCTTTTTCAGAATAGAAAAAGCAGAATTTTATTTACACAATTCAGGAGTTCTCCTGTTGTCTGGAGAGGGGAAAGGACAGGGTAAGGGTGGATGGGAGTCCAGAGTCGGGCGCGTCCTCTCCCGGAACCTCACCTTTCCGCAGTTTGCAATGACTCTCTTGGTTGAGCAGAAAGAATTCGTGATGCTCCCAAATTCCTTCACCTACAAATTCTTCCTCCCTCCAGGGAGTCTCTCTGCTCCACCAGCAAGAGCAGCGGTCGGAGCGAAGCATGCCGCACCGCGCGGTTCAGTCCCCTCGCGTCATGCACTTGGAAACCCAAAGCCAGCCCGGGAAGGTAGTGCCCTGGCGAAGTCCCCTCACAGGGAGGCCTCGCCCTCCAACTGCAGCAGGGTAATGTCGGGCAGGTCGAGGGGCTCCACAAGTGACGCGTCCCCGGCAAGGAGACCACCACAGGGGTTCTCGGGGCGCTCACAGTGGCTGGTGGGTGTGGCGGGGCTGGGCATCTCTTTCTCTTCTTCGTCGTCGTCCTCCTCGTCCACGGGATCGCGATCCAGCAAGTCGTTGTCCCCGATTCCAGGAGAAGGGGTCTCCGGCTCTTCGGGGGCTCCCGGGAAGTTCCCCTTGCCGCCGACCACGCCCAGGCTGCCCTGGCGGGGCGCCGTGGTCATAATCTGACACATGGAGACGATGGCCCGCTGGTTGGCGCACACGTCGTCCGAGAGCACCTGGATGTGCGAGGCCTGCTCGTCCAGGGCACCCCGCATGGCCCTCACGTCCTCAAACAGGGCCTGCAGCTGGGCCTTCAGGTGCTCCATCAGTTCCTTCATGCCGCCGTTGTACTCCCCGGAGATCACGTCCCCCACGGCCGGCACAGTGGACACCTCCAGAGGCGCTGGCATGTCGCCGCCGTCCTTGGTCATGATCTCCAGCAGACCGTCCTCCATTGAATGGCAGAAGCGGGCGGTGGCGGCTCTGGGTCGCGTCCTGCCCGGCCTCCGGGTGGGGGAGGAGGTAAAGGGGGAGAGGTCCCAAGGAGGAGCAGAGGGAAGGGGGTGCTCCGGAGAGTGGCAGGAGCCGACCTGGGGAGACCAGGCGCAGGCAGGATCCGCGGAGTCCGGGAAGAAGCAGTGGGACGAGAACCCGGGAGGGTCCCAGAGTCGGCGTCTCTAATGTTCGCCCCGGGCAAAAGCGCCCTGCCCGACTTCACCTCCGGGTTTGCGCCCCTGTCAGCGCCGCCACCCGAGCGCCCCGATCATCGAGCGCTCGCCAGTTTCTTGGGTCACAGAGGTACTTGTGGACCAGCCCGGGTTGAAGCCGAGATCAGAAGCGCACGGTCTGGGGACTCCCCCCCGGCCATTAACGGGCAGCGCCCGCGAGTGAGGCTGGAGCGGCAGGGGCGGGTCTCCCCCGGCGCCGCGGATGCTCCCCTGTTTCCAAGGCGACGCACGGCACGTAAATGACGTGTGTCACCATGGTAACCAGGAAGTGGAGAAGAAAAAGGGAGGACGGCTGGGAGGCTGCAGTGGGGCTCTGGAGTCTGGGCTAGAGGGTGGGGCAGGAGGGGAGGGGACGCTGCAGTGGCCTCAGCCGAGGCTGGAAAGGGCGTGCGGCTGCGATGTTTAATCGACAAGCACGAGAGAGCAGTTTGCTGCTTAAACCTCAAGCCGGGCAGAGAGGTCGTCCTTCCCTCAGTCTGGGTATTTCCAGCAGCCCGCATCCCTTTCTCCTAGGACTGCGCTACCGCGGCGTCCTGCTTCCCTGCCCTCCAGCGGTCCGCAGGAACGCCGAGAGGGTGAGGAAGGCCGGCGCGAATCATCCTAGACCGGAGCTGGCGCGCGGTGGCGCCCTGGAGCCGCCGCGGTGGGCATGGCGGTGCAGAGGCGCGGGGAGGGCACTACGGAGGCGCCTGCCTCCCTCCGGCTTCTGCAGTAAATCAGCTCTCACGTGAGCACGCGAGCTGAGAAAGGATGGGATTTCCTCCCAGAGGGGACCTAGCCGCTCCTACACGGGTCACTGGGAGTTTTTCCAAGATGGTGAGGCCAACTACTTGGGTTTTGAGAATGAACGTTCCATTAGGGCAGAGATTTTTGTCTCCCCTGCACCCACCATCGCGGAATCCCCAGCACCTGAAATAGTGCCTGGCCCATAATAGCAAATAGATGCTTAACACATTTGTTAAAGAAATACTGGTACTTTAACAAGAACCACCAAGTCCCATTCCCTCATTCAGAACTCTCCAGCACACACATAGTAGATTTCAGGAGACCTAAATAAAAGTTTGTTTCTGTCATTTAATTCAGAGACCTTGACTAAATCATTTTCATAATCTGTTAGGGGACTACAGTACGTGATCTAGAATATTATTTCTAACTCTGAGTAACACTGCAGCGGATCACAGGTGAAATGGTAAGCTGCTGGCACTTGGGTGGAAGGGTTAGAAGTGTGAGCAACTCCCGTGACTACTCAGCGCCAGTGCTCAGACATACACTGAGTGCAACAACTCGTTTCCCTATTTGAGAAGTGGAGGGGGAATGGAGAAGAAGGAAGAAAAGTTGGGTTTAATATATTTACAGATGACATCAGAGTAGCAAGCAGTCAGCACCTAGGCAGTAGCATCCTAATTAAAAGTGGCACTAGTAAATTGGAAAAGCCAAGCGATCAGAATCCAAAAATGAAGTTGAAAGAACAAATAAATCTGGGGAGTAGAAATAGAGAAGAGTTAGGTATGGGTGAGTGTTTGGTATTCTGATGGTTCAGGGACAGTGAATGTTTTACCTCAGCGTATTCGTGATTGTGTGCTATAGTGATAAAGAATGAGGCGGGCCCAGGAAAACACTTGTGGCACTGAAGAACTGCTTGGCCTATGCTGGTCTTACTGCTGTTAAAACAGAAACCAGGGACCAGCAGTTAGCATAATGGCTATGTCACTGGACTTCCATGTAGGCGACAGCGGTTTGTGTCCTGGTCCCAGTGGCTTAGACTCACGCCAGGCTCATGCGCATGCGTGCCCAAGATCCCGCGAGGAGAAGGGATTGTGGTGTGTCCATCCCCCTGGGGGGTGATTTCTTGCTTTCTGTCTCTCTGTCTCTCTTTGTCTTTCTGGCAAGCACACGTGCCCTATAGCAAAAACCTCTCAAAAAAAAAAAAACAGAAATAAGTTGTGAATACCCTAAATGTCCAACAGTACAATGTCTAAATAATCTAAAGCATTGCCAATATAATAAACTATTACACAGCCATTAGGAATTTGATTTTCTGGGGCCAGCAGATGGCATAGTGGTTAAGATACTGAATTCTCACGTAGATGACCATGGTTCGAGTCTAGGCCAGACTTGAAACTCATGCTGAGCATGTGTTCATGCATGTCCAAATTCTCAAGAAGAGAATGGATTGTGGTGTGGCCATCCCCACAGGGGACAATTTCTCATTTTGTCTCTCTGTCTCTCTTGCAAGCACATGTGCCTTATAGCAAAAATCTCTCAGAAAAAAAGTTTGATTTTCCAGACCATTCAGGTAGCCTAGTGGTTAAGGGAGCCAGATACCACATGGCTGACCACAGTTCAAATCCTGGCCCAAACAGCTTGAAAAACACTCCAGACACATGTGCCCCAAATTGCAACAGGATGAAAAAATAGAAGAAAAGGGACTACAATGTGACCACACCCTATGGAGGAGTGCTATGTCCCATTCTACTCCCTCGCTCTGTGTCTCTGTTTCTCTCTGCTGAGTGAACATGACCTCTGGCCATTAAAAAAATGATATTCCAATACTAATGTATTAACCCATTTAAAAAAACACAGTATTTTCTAAAATGAATCATTTAATTTAAAAAGAGCATTGTATTTTTATAAAATGAATCATTTAATAGAATTCAACTAGAATTGAATGGTTACTTTTAGAAAATAAAGCTCAGGTATGGGACTGTCATCTTTGCTGTCACTCAAACCTCCACCATGAGCCCCACACATAGTTAATAACACTTTTGGCTAATCCTGCGACTGTGTCTCAGGGGAGGACAGAAATGCTTTTCCTGTTTTTCCTAAGCATAGCCAAAGGGGGCTGGTATTTATGAAAATACTTTATTAAAAGTAAACTATAGGAAAACTGTAAGCAGACAGGAAACACAAAAATGGTTGAGCTTACACAGCACAAATTTCTGAATGTGCTACAGCAGGCATAGTCTCAGGGCTTGGGTTCAGCCCTGCTTTCATCCTTCCCAGGAGAGTTCTGCTACAGTCAGGAAAGATTGGCATGGCTTGTGGGCTTCTGCTGGGTCCATGACTTCACAAGTAATGGACCAGCACATCACACTGAAGACTTCATCTTGCCAGTTCTCTCACTTTTCAGGTGGGTCCCTGTCTTCTACCTACAAAGACTGGCCCTGTCTCCATCCAGTGTATCAGTCCTTAAGCTTACATTCAACAGCTCACACACAGTAAGAGCTGGCTTATGCCATCATACAAAGCCCTTTGCCACTATTGTTGAGGGTACCACGTATGTCAAGGCTTTCAGCATAAGCTATATCATGCTGCCCAGAGCCACTGGCCATGAAGTCTGCAGGGAACCCAGGGGATCTGAGCCCACAGGGAGGAGAAATTATTGGAGAAGAGCAAAAGATCATGGGAAACAGGTGCAGAAATCAAGGGGTGTGGTCGATCCAGTCAAGTTTCAGGTCAGACATTTGAGAGCCAAGGGTAGGTGGGTACTGGGGGAGTGGACCAGGAACAGGACTTGAACATATAGGGAGGAGACATTGGTATATCAGATTCAGAACCTGATTATTTCAGGAATTCTGTGGGAAATGAGATAAGGGAAGACAGGCAAAGGGTCTAGTCTCAGGAAAATGAAGGAGAGAGAAGATAAGGGGCAGAGGACAGAGAGAACTTTGGTCACCTAGCTGGATTACAAGGCCGGGTCCTCTAAATGCAGTGTCCTGGCATTTGTTTTGTGGATCCATTCCCACCAAAAGGGGGCTAGGTGGCTTCCCCGTCGCCCTACTAGAATACTGAAGGAAACTGCCACATAGTAAGAGAAAGTAACCCCAGTATACTCTTCTGCTTCCTGCCTTTGTCTTCTCTGCTGGGAAGCATCTTTATCCCAATTTCACCAGCCCATTTGGAGAGAAGACCCTTTGCTGTATAGACATAGGTCTCCATCAGGTACACCTAAATTCAAATGTCACATTCTCACTAAAATTGTGATTTTGAATAGTTTGTGCCATTTCCTCTATCTGATGTCTAATTTACCCGTATTTTATATAGCTGGTGTATTTCTGTACTATAAACCTAGTGAACAGGCTTGCTTGACTCAGTTCTAAAACAATGATCTAAAACAAGGTATAGCTGACTGCTATACCCTAGGTCCAAAGGCGCAGACAATAACCCCCAAATATAATTTGTATGAAGCTGAACTGCCTTGTGGCCCATCTCAGCAGGATATCACATTCAAAAGAAACACATCCACTAGCCAAAAAGAATTAAAAAGCAATTTAGTTTTTATTGCAGTCTCTGAGAAAACTCTAAAGGGGTTTACATTATGAGCACAGAGTAAAACATCTTAAAACTTCTCTCCCCTCCTTCTTGATCTCACATTATGGCATGGTTGTCGCTACTGGTATCTTTGCTTGTTCCCCAAATGCACCCAAACTTGACCCTTGTTCTCTCACTCTCCCATTCTCTTGGGTGTATTCTTTTTTCTCTCCTATAAGAAGAACCTTCTAATACGGCTCAGTTCAAGCTTCTTTCAGCTTCTTTGTCCATTCTCCTGTATCAAGTACCAAGAGCTCCAGCTGTCAATTACAGGAGTCTTGTCAGAGGATAAAACAGAAAGAATAAGAAGCTGAGAATACTCATGTTGTTGTACATCTTGTCTGTCACATTGCACTAGATTTTTCCCAGCACCAGAGGGTGGTTTTTTGATGCTATGGCCAACTTGTTTTGCTAATCTCCCCCATATTTGTAAGGAGA